GGTAATAGTGACGAGAGACAAGATACCTTTGTACCGTCTATTTTCATTCCCATCGTCCATCCACCGTCCCCGCAGCCCTCAGGGTCACCTGTCATGTGACAGTAAACGTTAACCTTCCCATGATCCACCAGAAGTTGATAATCTCTATTCTCCTGTGACCTGAAGTAAATCAATTTTTTTTTGTGTGTTATTTATTTGTTTCATATATTTATGGATTTACTTTTGAAAACGTATATTAAGAGCATGTCTACGAGAAAATCGATCTTTCCAAGAGCTCTCACTGCGTTTAATATTTCCACAAAGCAACGAAGCAAATCGAATCTGGTAAATAGTTGACATAATGGCTACTTATCTAACAAATCATATCAAGCCAAAAGTTGCAACTGAGGCACCACAGAGACAAGTATGTACTATCATGTTTCTTCCTAGATTTCTTTTGTCATAAATTTCGACTACATACGCCTTTGATATTCATCATCAACTGTTGCGTTTCTTCGAGAATAATCCAAATATGACTGCGAAAAGAATTTCTCAAGAAGGGCTCAACCTGCGCTATTCAAAGATTCTCTCCTCCTTCATGTTTAAATGATACTCTCTGGAATTTTTTTCCAAATTTCAAGCTATAAGTCAATAAAACAAAGATGTGGCTTACGGAATTTTTATGATACTGACTAAAAAGCGGGAGTTAGATGTAAATATCACGTCAGCACGGGTTATGAAATCACCTTCCCCAAAATTTTATTAATGATTTTGGCTTTCATTGCCCATGTAGGAATAATGATCAGAAGTGGTTGGTCATTGGAGATATTGGGCTTCAAAATATCCTTATTTTTGGACTTTGTTAAAACCAGAAAAAGTAATCTTTACTGGGAGAGGTAAGGGATTAAATAAAGTGAAAAACTTAAAATAATTCAATTTTCTTAAAGTCTGATAGATACAAAACACAATCCATTTGATTGAATTTGCAGATGGATTTTCGGTTTGTCACAGCAACAATGCAAAGTTAGCTAATTAATTATGGAAACAATCCAGGAAATTGGGGGTTTTCCCAGGGGGAACCTTTTTTTTACCCAGGAAATTAGATATTTTGACCTATTATTTTCATAAATTTGTTAACTCATAATAATTAGCAGTTGTGCCAAGTTTGAGCCAAATCGGTGACTTGAGGTTTATCGCTCTTGCCCGGTTCTGCCCGGTTTTCTCGTGGACACGCTCTTAATAACTGTGTTCCAAGTAACTGGTTGATAGGGGCGGATGGGAAAATATTTGGCTGGTGATCATGGTGCACGAACCGAGCATGGTTTTTTCTTAAGTTTTTCTTCCTTTTTTCAATTAACTCATAGCGGGCTGGGCTATATGAAACGTTTTCATATAGCAAAGTATATTTATTACGTAGCAAAGGTTAATTATAGCTGTGGGTAACTTGATATCTGTAAAATGATGAATAAATTGGCAAAATAGGAAAAAGGGCTCGTGCAGGGAACTTTGAGAGATTCATCTAGGTAACAAGAAAATACATCATGGTTGTCGTAAATA